TTTAGTCCTTTGAGGTTGAGTTTCACTGGATTGATTATGTGTGACGTTGGGGTCATAATTTGGTTTGGAAGTGGCCAGCAATGTTACATAATACAATTGTGTGAGTAGTAATCCACTGTGTGATGTAATTCAATCGGGTATTTCCCTCTGATCATACAGTTAAATCAATGGATATAAGAAATCTAAAATCTCTATTTTTTTTGTGTTGACAGCTTTCTGAGGGTACAAATAAACATGATCCCAAACCCAAAGCAGAGGAAATTAAGGATAGTAAGGAACTGTCGAAAGATGCGTCCACGTCTAAAGACAAAGAATCCAGTACTACAGTTAAAGAGGAGAGAAAAGAGAGCAAAGCGACAGAGACCGTTCCCATGAAGGAGGGCGAGCAGAAAGGGGACAAGTCTCAAGACAACCCCAAACAAGGAGAGGGGATTGCTGAGTAAGTACATTTTGTGGTAACATCAAAATGAAAGAAAGAAAGAATTCTCCACAGATGCAATTGAAACAACTGATGTAGGCTCAAAACTAGTTACATGCTCAAAACCAGTTAGCACTTCCCTTATGTCGAACAAGTTTGAAGGAGACCTGAAAAGATAAATTGCTTAGTACGGTATTGTGGGATTTCATTTTAAATTCGTTTTAAAGCAGGACACATTCCATCACACTGGTAGCTTGTAAGACACTGGATATTCTGTAATAATTGAAATATTTGTTGTTTTTTCCAGAACCGTTAAGAAGTCCCAGTTGAATCCAAATGCGAAGGAGTTCAATCCGTCAGCAAAGCCGTTTGTCCCGGCAGCAGCAGCCATCTCGTCAGCCCCGCGCGCCAGGAATCAGACCCCCACCCCTCCCCGTCCTCAGACACAGAGTCCAGTCGTCATGCAACAACAGGTACATCCCCTCTTTTATACCTCTCCAAATGCGTTTGTTAGAATTATGTTGATGAAATGGAAGTATACCACAGAAGTAATTTATTGAGAAAAGCCTGCAACTATTGAACAACAAAATTGTTAGGAGGAGCTTTTTAGGAGGAACTTTAAATCTCAAAATCACCACAATTTTCCACCAAATCACTGAGTTTTCCTTAGCTTTCTGACCCAATTGCTCTTATAACTTGGTTTTGTTCATGTGTGACATTGACATTGGGTTTAATTTGGTCAGAAATGGATATTGTGACCATTTGAGATTCAATGAAATTTTGGAAAATGTTAATTTTGGACAAGCACAATATGCAAGAAGCAGTTTATTGGGAAATAAGTGGTCTTGTTTTTGAAGTGTTTTTGACTTGATTTACTTAAGAATACAGATATAGAAACTGACAGGCTATTGTCAATGCTGCATTTATGGAAGACTGACTATAACAAATGAGATTGGTGTAAAAGCTGACGACTGTGTCTGTTCCGCAGGGTCCCATGATAGTTCACGGAACCCCGTTGTTCACCAGTGTTCCATCGTACGGCATTGTTTCCACGGGCTCCACGATGACCATGACTGGACACCCCACCTTTGTAGGACCCATCTACGCGCAGCAGCAGCAGAAGACAATATACGCCAAAAAAGGTAATTATTTACCGTTAAATTCCCATGTTCGTTGTCAGCCATTTTATGTATCACACCAAAGGTCTGTTCTCTGCATTAGTACGAAGAAGAGCATTTTCTATTGTTTTGTCACTCTATTGTACATGTTGTGAGAACAGATCACAAATTGATTTTAAAAAAATTCGAAAGGCCTAGGTCAAGCCATGAGGTAGATGTTGTTGCTATGTTGTTTTCTTGCTCAGGAAGAAAGAAAGAATTGTGTTTAAGTTAGCTGTGGAGTATGCAAAATTCATAAATGGGAAGAAGAAGAAAAAAAATGCAAGTTGGTGTTTTGAGTGTTGCCAGTGTCAGGGCTTGAAACTGCTTGTGCAAGTTGACATGTGTCACCAAAAGTAAGGAAGTTGGTGACTGATGGAATTTGTATTGGCAGTGGGAGATATCTAACACAACCTGATAGGATATAAGGTTGTTTCTGTAGAACAGTCTGTTAGAACTTTCTTTTTTGGTGGGGTCTTTCTTTGCAGATGCAAATTAAGTTTAATTTGGAATATGTTTTGGGGGGCAAAGAATCAAGAGTGTAGAATTTGTTTTGAGTCCTGATTTTTGGTTATAGACTAGCAGTTGTTGTCCTGTGGTAAGTGATAGTGTCCCTGTTGTAGTGGTGACGTGAGTGATTCATGTGTGAGATAGTGTATCAAAGAGGTGGGCATAAACCAACTGAACAATGCCAGAAGACAAGGCAAAAATCATCCACACAACAGTCTAACTATCAGCCAAAAGTCAGCCTCTGAACCAAGAACAGATAACCATTTTGTTGCTCTCATTCTTACTGAATATAGCGTCTCCTTTTATGTTAAAACAGTATTGCTCTCTTTTTTCCTTTCTATTTCTCATCATTGGTTTGCCCATGGTTTCCAACCATGAAATTTGCTGTTGATATTTTCTGGTTCATGAAAACATGCCATAGATTTTTTTACATGTGGTTTTGATACAGCTCTTTGCTGATTGGTTTTGAGCGTTGCTCATTAAAAAAAATTCAGTTGAGAAAACAAAGTCTGGTGTTGTGTTTGGCGTTGTTCTGTTTAGTTGTCGTTGTCTGGAAGATGGGTTACTTTACGTAACAGTCAACTGCTGACTCACACTTTTGTTTTGCTTTATTTTAGTGTTGC